AGTCGAGTCAGCGGTGACAGTTCAGTTTCTCGATGTTCCGAGTTGGCGTCAATGTGAGCGGCTACCGACCATGTGGCTCACCCTGGCACGCTAACCTGCTTCCTTGCATCGGGACAGATTTCTCTGTGCTTACAAGCAGTTTACCAGAAATTCTACCTCACGTATACCACGAAGTTTTCCTATTCGGTACATAGGATTGGTGAACTGAGTTCACTTTCTCATGAACCTTCAAACAACTGGCACGAGCATTAGCACCGATACAGTCTTGCTTATATTGATTAATGTGTAATATCTAATGCAGTAAACAAAATCACTGAAATATGGATGTCTTGGTTTGAACCCAGGCAATGGATTTCAACATTTTTCTCCGCATATAGTCGAGAACAATACTACACATTCTCTGTTATTTTATATGGGTCTGAAATGTATACTTGTCGTGTTAAACGAAATATTCTGAAGGTAAGCAACTTAAGGAAGACCAACTGGATGGGGCACACACTTTTTTTATATATTCCGTAGGGATCGGATCAGTTGGATAACCTAGACTCTAGAGTACATGGGGGGATAATATAATGTATCTTACAGAAACATGTGGAAGGTTGTGGAATGGATTCATATCCACCTGAAACCAGCGATGGGGTAACTAAACCTGTACTGACCCCTCGGGTTCCATGAAAGACGAGGAAATTATTTTGAATTGTCTCATTCTGGTCCGCTGCACTAACGACTTACGACAATGAATTAAATTTTAAATAGTTTAATAGTGATTAATCCAAACATAAGAAATCTACGTGGAAAAAGTGATAATTCCTGTGCTGCGTTTAGCCTATTGGCATACTCAATTATTCTGCATGTTTGTGTTTTTATACGACAACGAGTGCCGTCGTAACGAAAACGTATGACAATAATACGAAACATACATCTGTGAATAACACAACTGAAAGTGAACACCAAACCAGCTTAATTAACAGCGTCTCCTGCCGTATGAAAAGTGCCTCTGATGATGGTATTAATTAAACCGAAACATGTAAGGCAAGAATAATAAAAGTGATGTGACCTCTACTGCCGCACTGGACGCAAATATTCTATTAACTTTCTAACGAGGAAATTCTTGACTAGCTGAGCAACTACTAGTTTCTCATGGAATATTCAGCTTCATGAACTTAATTAGCTTTGATGAATATCTAGCGATCTATACAATATTTTTTTCGGGTTAATACGGCCAGAGTGTCAAAATCAGCACTGACTGCAATAGCAGCCTACTTGCGTCAGAGAGTGGTGTACCTCCACGTATCTAATAATTTGAAAACCTGCAAGATGCATATTTACATACACAGTGATCTGAACGATCTGATTTACGTCATTCAAAGAAATCACATCAGTCGTGTATACGTTGAATGGTAAGTGGACAGGAATTTGGAGACTACTGGCGTGACCTATTTTGAGACGCCTGTAAGTACTTAAGAAAACTGCAAAAACGACAAGCTCTAAGCTCTTGTGTTTACGTGGACGTTTTGGTGCACTCCACTCTCAAACACAAAATGGGTCTCACTCATGTTTTCCCGTTCTTTAGCGTAACATATCTAGAACAACTTCTGAGGCATGGTCCAGAATGCAAGCGAGTAAATAAAAACGCTCATTAGACAAGAAACTAACTCGTGTCCTACTTAACATAAATGTACAGCACTGAGAACAATGGAAAAATAGAACGAAAGGCACAACGGCGTTCCAGTTTCAAAGTTGACGGAGGGGTAACGGCTTGCTGAATCAAGGAGAAAGCAGTCCTGGCATATTTTAAGGTGCTGTCGCATCTTGGTTTTAATATAATTTATGCCTTGTATTTCTATTTACAAGGGTTTCCTTTAATCCCTTATTGTTAGGTTATAATTCTTTCGTGACTATTTTATTTTATTGCCGATTACAAACCACACACTGCAATCCGGATAGCTACTAAATAAATATTTTGGTCTCACCTAAACTTAATTTAAAATCATTACTGAATGATTTCTCAAGGAATAATACAAAGAAGTATAACGACAAGGATCCAAAAGTATGGTCGCCTTTTCGTCAGTGGTGACAGAAGAACTTCGGCCGGCGACAAATTTCCCAGTCTCCGCCAGTTTGCCATTTGAGTTCTGGCAATCCCACTCTATCCGATCTGGCACATAGGAAATGGTGAACCAAATCCAAAATTTTTAAATCGGTTTCTTTTGCTACTTTATTTCTGGCCTACGGATTCTTAGAGCAAACAATACGAGCCAACTGGAGCCAAGAGCCACACCAAGATGCCAGAAATTAAAGTTGATCTATCCTTTTCTGACGATCAGAATAGTTCTGTAGGCACCACATTTTCAAAAATGTTTCGACCCCTTCCGCTGCTTCTGCGCCAAAAATCGATTGTTACTTGATCAGGTCTGTAAATATCCTTAAGTCAAACATATAAGTGCAGTTTCAGCAGCCACTGAAATGGGAAAGGACAAAGTAAGTGTTGAGATGAGAGACCGCATGAGGTACAGAAACAGAACGAGAAGCATGAACGATTTTGTCTCAAGTCCTTCAGAAGCCTAAAGCAGTTAGGATGAGCAGGATACGCTCTCGGCAGTTCTACTATCTGTAGTTACATTGTCACTCTACTATCACATCTATATTCTATATAGCTTACTGCTCTCTGCATTCCAAGCCATTCAACTGCTCTGAAGATGGAGGCGATACGTTCCTCCGAAACGTCGGCCAAAACGAAGAATACACGGCGCCTAAACCCAGAAGACGACTTTCTTCATAGTCATCGCCGTGAAAACCTCAAAACTTACACGATTACACGATGATACAATACGAACTCGAATCGTGGCTATGGGTCTAACATACGTTCACGGAAATTGTCCACATTATTAATATGCGTTATGTGTGAGTCGGATAATACCTCCGCAAAGTACAGAAGACGGACGAACTTTTTAAAGTAAATTGGTTATTATATGTACGACCTGGTTTAACGTACTACAACTCTGCATTCTACCTGCAGAGTATAGTGTACTTGTATGTACCCCTTTGTTTTCTCAATAAACATAAATTATTTCCTTAAACCGCATTAAACGGCTTATCTTAGTAGAACAAATAGAACAAATTATATGCTTGCTGTGAGATGGGAACTGAATTTTTGTCCGTTATTTAGAAGAAATTCAGTCTGTGGTTAATGATTGTCTTCCAGAAGTCTTGGCTACACTTCCAAGACCCAAAAATACGAGCATTTGCTGTAAAAAGGTATAGCTATCCCTTTAACAGGCCGTGAAGGCTCATAGGATTGTGAGACGTCGAGGCTCCCACATTTTCTAGAAAATCGCCTCACACATGACAGTGAGGTTGTCAGCCTTACGCGCCGGCAGCCCTTTAACCCCAGGAAGATTTCTGGTACTCGTTTCTGTTACAGACTGAGTCAATCCCATGGTCATTGTCCAGCTGAAAGGGTTGCGTCAAATGAATAATCCAATGACTTCATTGGGACTCGAACCCGCAACCTTCCGGCTTGTAGCATAGTGTAGCATAGAATTCTAAAAATGTGTGAGTTTCAGAGCGTCTTACATTTTAATACAAGTATTCATAGGGCAGGTGGGTAAAGACTATTTGCTGTGTTTTGTGCGCCCTCTTTTATCATGAAGGTCAACAAATGAATGCATAATACATAAGTTTAGTGCATAAGAATGTTTCACTGAATGAGCTTCGATTAAATTTAATATTGTAGGTTGAAGTGATCAGTGGAATGTATATTTTGGTCCTAGCCGGCTCAATACAATCCTTGCTTCGCACTAAGTTCAATATAATGTTGCAAACTTCCTCAATAACAGCTCATCATACACAAAACTCATTACACTGCATGAAATAACCTCGTTAACATAGGATCTTCAACGTTTGTTCGAAACATTTTTCGATAATAAAATAGAAAGGAAATTATTTATACTCTGTAGCAACTCTAAGTCTGCTATTGGATCCTATTCTGAACTAGGTCTGTCCACTCCACAACCACCTTCCTAAGATCGAACTTAATATTATTGTATTCCGATCTCCTCCTCGATGTTCAAAGTGGCTTATAATAGTTAAACCATCTGGATTCTGTATGCATTCCTTATGCATCGTAACATCAGTGATTTTTTTTGTCAACAACGCTTAATGTACTTGTATACCAATCACAGTGTTTCTCTTTATACTAAAATCCTACGTTCCCCATTTTCTTCATCTAATACATAGTATAGAAATAAATAAACAGAGTGGAACTTGTTTATAACGGAATCTCAAGGGACCTGAAATTTATTTTTACTTTCACAAGATTTCAGCAGGTGCTTCTAGCTAGACATACATAAATACTCGTATATTGCACACTATATGCTACATAGAGGCCTATGACGCAAATCAGAAAATTGTTACTATTTTCTTCTTCTTTTCTGCAGTAATTCAAAGAAGTATTCTACACATACTCTGTTACGCAACGGTGCTCAGTCTTTCCATTTGCGACAGGAATGTTGGTTCTCAGAAAAAAAAAATCCTGGAATCACATTACAAAACAAAATATGAATGAAAACAACAAATAAATTATTCAAAGTATTTTCTTTTCTTCTTTTTTCTGCATTTAATTTTTCCGTTTACTACAGCTGATCTTAAACTGGTTTTCATCCTGCATTCTCGTGACCAGAGACTAAAGAAATCAATTCTTCGTTTAATCGAGGTTCCGTTTACTAAAAAGAAAATTCAACTGCAACTGAATAGGCGTGTATGGCAACAACTTCAAGCAGCTCGTTGGTCGGAAAGTCTTTGTTCCAATATTCATAGCAGCCTCGCCTGTTTGCGCGTAAACTGGGATGAACTGAAGCGAGCCACTTGGTTTATTTCCCTGCATTTCAAGTTACGTGATACCGACCAGCACGTCTGTTCTCTTAAGCATGAGACTGCAATGGCAAGATATTCCTGTACATGCTTCTCAAGGCGTATTGTATTTGTTCTGCGTGTTGCAGCACTGACAGTTCGCTTCCTGACTAGACGGTACATTGGAGAATATGATCATCAGGCAGGTTAGTAAAGCAATATGATTTTGCTTCCACTTATATTTACACTAACTTTCTGTAGTTATCAAGATTAACCGATTGATATGTTGTATTTAAACAATAATTTACTAATGTTAGTCTAAAATAAGGTATGGTAGCGAAAAGCCAGGTTAAATTTTAATGGAAAATTGTTAGAAACTTTCTCAAAAACACCTAATGTCAATAGCTACAAAGGTTCTGGAAAGACAGCCACATTAATAATAAGATGTTAAACTTGACAGAGAAACAACACGAACGAAGCAGTGGTGCTGTCTAAGGAAAATGCTTACGGCTAAGTCTGCCTGTAGAAATAAACTCCATCGTATCTAACCTCTATTTGTATTCCACTGGCAACAAAACGCCATGATGGCATTTGTCCAGGTCATCACTGAATAACAGAAATAAGTGTCTCTCGGTAACAATGTCACCATTTGCAACATGCAGTGGCTGATTATTTGGCCTTCGGGCACAAAATAAACATTGACATACACTGTAAATTTCATTAACAGCCATTAGTTCGGTATTACCATCACCCATTCAAATGTTACCAAGACTATTTTGTGACCTTTCTTTGTGTTAATATGAAGGCAAACATTATTTGAAGAATCGCCAACAGTCAGATTTCAGAACATTCGAGGTAAATAATTTCCATCTCTATCTGGTTTCCAAATACACCCTTTTATTAATCCACTCTTATATAATATATATTATATATACAATATATTAAACAACAATTTCACTGAATGCGTACACTATACCACAACAGAAATTTGTTTCTGCAGAGGTAAACTGCAATTCTGACTAAAGCATAACTACTTATCGTTGCCTACCGACGGTCCTACCCGTAACTACATGTACTAACAACTCTGGCTTCCACATTTCTACAGAACGAGGCTGGAATAACGACATAATTACAAGCCCTGACTTCTGTATACACAGATGTTCATATTACTCTTTTTATATAAGAAATAATATCTGTATCCCAAAAGTATTTAAAGTCACTGATACATATACAATACAGATATAACTATATTTCACAAAGACTGGATAAAATAGAAATTGTATATAAGAATGTGGTGCCTCTGTGGTCTAGTGGTCAGCGTTCGATTCCCGGCGCTACCAGATTTTTTCTGAGAAGTAGTGCGCCTGGAACGGGGTCCACTCAGCCTCGTGAGGATAACTGAGGAGCTACTTCAAGGAAATAGCGGCTCCGGTCTATAAAACCGAAATTAACGGCCGTGGGGATTCGTTGCGCTGACCACGCGACATCCTCTGTCTGCAAAAATTGCCACTAAACTTCGCCGACAAGCGGCGGTCGCTCTGTCGGTATGGTTCGCTTGCGGACTAAAATCACGGAGTTTTGTATATCTGTGAGTGTGTGTGTGTATGTGTAATTTATTCTCTTATATTTTGTTCGTGCCTTATTTGACATCAGCACTCTGTGTCTAAAACATCTCTGAGAGTACGTTATCATCGAATAGTGATGTGGATCGTGACGTCATCGTTAGGAAGTTGCACCGAACAGGTTTGTAAGGCACTGTGCTTACATTCGGTAGGTGCTGAGTTCCGATGTCGGCCAGCTACCCTCACTGAGATTTTTCACAGTTTTCTTCAGTCCCTCTAATCAAATGCCGGGATAATACCTCACTTAGGCCACGACCGCTTCCTTCCAAATCCAATTCAAGTCACCAGTCATCCTACTATCTCACGCTATATGCATGTATATAGTCTCATACAGAAAGTTGTTTAATATCCTACAAAAGAAACATACAATAAGAAGCATGACCACCATACCGGAGACTCTCTGAACATAAAGGACATTTCTTACGTAATGTTGCTTACTCGAGGTGTGCGTACCGCTGAAGATGTTTGAGACAGACGAGTATTATAGAACATCAAACGGTAGCGTAGTTCGTTAATAATGAATTGAAAATGATGTAGAAGGAAGTGATCGTTGTCGGATTTAAGGCAACATCTCGGCATTTTCCTGGAGATACTAAGTAAACCCATGAAAAACGTCGGATATCCGGTTTCCGAGCAGAGGTTTGAACCCCGCAACTCTCGCATATACGAATCTTGGTTGCCAATCACTGGGCGGCGACGATGCTGTTCTAATTTATGACGGGGCACAGTATAAACATTTAGAAGAGATGTCCTAATTGGAATAATTAGATTATGAATAGCTTCGCAACTTGTGGACGCACATAAAGACACTTTCCAAAACATTCTTTTGTCACATTGTATGTTACAAAAGGAAAACCTCAGGTCCCTTAGACCTACCACTGTGTACACTGAACCCCTTTGATTAAGGCAATGAGCTGGTTTAGTATACAGCCAGCGCTTGTATCTCTTGAATTAAATTCAAACAATCTTCAAGTAAATGAATTTCGTCATTTAAATAAATCGAAGCTCTGAAATAATGGTTTTTGTCACATTAAATTTTAACAAAAGACTCGAGGAGAAGTTTAGTTTCTGGAACGGTAAAAGCAGGAAGAGTTACGCGATCGGAAGTTCACCGAGTTGGTATTTACATGAAATCAAACTTTAAGACACAAGTCTAAACTAAAGCTGTTTATGAAGAAAGCAGTCTTCTGGGATTTGGCACCGTGTATAAGTGGTGTTAACCGACGTTTCGGAGGAACGTATCGCCTCCATCTTCAGGGTAGAAGAAAAAGTATAAGAAATCTGCAAGCGTATACGGTATACCGTTCTCACGGTCTTGTCGCTTGCAGATTTCTTATACTTTTTCTTCTACCCTGAAGATGGAGGCGATACGTTCCTCCGAAACGTCGGTTAACACCACTTATACACGGTGCCAAATCCCAGAAGACTGCTTTCTTCATAGTCACCGCCGTGAAAGCCTCAAATCTTACATAAACCTGTTTATATTCTACCCAAGTTGCCAACTTTCACACGTACACTTACACAATGATTCATAAACTACGTCATGAAATACGTATATCCAACCTCAAACTTCATGAGGTCTGAGAATTACATTTTTACAATTCACAGTCTACTTAAACAAGTGAAAGTATTGCCTACACCCTTTTGCCAAACCAAATTCCACATGCCTCCCTGGACTACTTCATGGTTTCTCGTCATTTAATGGGAAAGTAAGTAAATAAGTCTCGGTTATTGTTGCTTGTTCTTATTTTATCTCCATCTTGAGAAGCTGGCATTCGCTTAGTTAGTCAAAAAATTACTGCCTTTTTATAGAACTCGAAGGTCCATTACCGTGTTCACTAGAACGCGCCAATGGATCCTGCTCATATCCTCATACTCCACTTGTTTAAGATCCGGTTTAGTATTATCCCCACCTACGTCTAGGTTTCCCACGAGGTCTCTTCCCTTCAGGTTTTCCAACTAAAATGTATTCATATTTCACCTCTCCCAAGAGTGCAAAAATCCTGCATTTCTCTCTTGACTCAAAGCGTCATGAGAAGCCACAGGTATAATAAAATCAGAGATCTAAATTCCTATAGACATTTTCCTTAAAGAAAATTGGCTGAAAGTAACATGTTCTAGGAAGAAAATGCAAACATTCCAATGAGTATCTTGGTGAGTACTGGAAAGACAACAACTTACGAGTACAATATGGAGGGATCGTAGGCCCAAACCTCTTTAATCACGATATATCATATGCTTAACATATTTCTCTTCTCAGATAAAATCTGCCAATATGTACAAATAATTTATCGCAGAGCCAGGATCTTTACAGCCTTCCGTTTAAAAGTGACGGGAGATCGAACAACAATTGATTTGCAGTGAACCTAACAGCATCACAACGCTTTCTTCAGATACCAGCCAAAGTGTATTTCAGATGGGTTTCGCTTGAGGAAGAAGGAATAATAACAGAAAGAATGAAAAAGAGAACATAAGGAGAAGGAAGGAGGGTAGATACAGAGATAAATAAAGTAGGGCAGAAAATACTGATACATAAGATACAAAAAAGAGCCTTTCACCCTTTAGACCAATCTCATTAATCTGTCTCAAATATGCANAGAACAGAAGGAGAAGGAAGGAGGATAGATACAGAGATAAATAAAGTAAGGCAGAAAATACTGATACATAAGATACAAAAAAAGAACCTTTCACCCTTTAGACCAATCTCATTAATCTGTCTCAAATATGCATTGCTTACAAAAACCTGTCTCAGCTGTTTGCTTCTGCATGCATGGATAAGTTATAAAACGTGCAGTGTTTCAAAGCAATTAATTACTATACTTAAGTCCAATTAATAGCAACGAGTTTAAATATGTCCATATTTCCCACGAATTCTTTAAAATGAAATATGTTAAATCTGGGAGAACAATGTAAACAACCCTCAAATGACGTTCGAATATGTGGAACCCGTAAGTTTGTTGACTGAATAATTGTTTGTTAAGTCAACAGGCCTATTCCTGAAACTTAACATCACAGGTGAAAGAACAAAGAAAGCTGCAGCTACGATGAAGCCACGTGGCAACAGCTGAATTACAAGTCGGAAATGTGTAGTGTTATGAACGGAGCTATTACGGAAATGATACACTCAAATAGAAATAAAAATTACGCTGTCTTTTGTAAGTCACGGTTTGTTTTATTGCTATATCTCATTGTATTCAATGGATATTCAAATGTCAAATACTGTCATTGTTTTATGTAAACGGATTCTATTATAGATGTGTCCACACAGAACTGAAATCCTCTTTGTATTATGTACGTAATATTTGAGGTTTTCACGGCGGTGACTATGAAGAATGCCGTCTTCTTGGATGTGGCGCCGTCTCGGACGAACGTCGGTTAACACAATATCTGCACGGCGACACATCCCAGAACACGACATTCTTCTCTTTGCATTAACTTGGCCTACCACCTCCAATTAAGATTCGGCAGATAAAAACAAACAATTTTTTTCTTTGACTTAAATGAGAAGAAAGCTTCTTAACGAAATCAGATCTTAGAGATACTGTTGCACAACACCGAGTATGGGACCCAAAAGTTTAGTGTTCGCTTATCCGCTTGATACATGAATTTATTCCAAATTATGTTACAAATTTCGTTCTATCTCACAGGAAACTTTCCTGAGGAGTAAAGCGCGGCCGGCGCGTAAGGCTGACAAACTTACCGCCATCTTTGAGCCAATTGTCAAGGTAATGTGGGACCCTTAACGTCTCACAATCCTATGGGCCTTTACGGCCTGTTACAGGGATAGCTTTACTTCTTTTCTTTTCTCACAGGAAACACGCCGAGTCTACATTATAAAAACCAGTTGATTAATGTAGTTAAAGGAAACGATCGTTGTTTATTCTGAGAATCATATGAAACCATAAATATATCCTGCGAACAAGACTCAAGAGTTCTTTAATTCTGCAGGAAGTGGTACATATACTCCTATAATCACTGTGCTTTAAAGTGTTATGGAACTCTTCGCCACATTCCTTCAGCTTCTACAAACGATTCTATTTCTTAACCACTTCGTTAGACACGAAAAACAAATGCCAACAGGTTAACAGTACGGATATCTGATAGGCTTGAGATCTGTTTACTATAATGAATTGCTTCTTTATGCTGGGCTCAAACAAACCATCCTTGAGATCAGCATGCATGTAAACAAGCAATTTGTCAGGGCATGCCAAGATAGAAAACTGCATGGGGCGCAAGCAACATCTTACTCGTTTATTGTCTGTTTTACGATGCTTACAATAGCTCTGACTGTACAGTTTCGCATGATATGATTAATAAAGGATCAATTAGAATGAACGTGGTAGGATGAGGTAGTGGTCTAATTTCTGGTACTATCCCGACATTATTCTGAATAGGCTGAGGAAAACCACGAAACCCCAAAGTCATGATAGTTGGTGTCCTAGCCAAGATTCCAACCAGGAACCTCCAGAATAAAAGTCAGAAGCGGTACCGCTTGGGGAGACTTCTTTAATGCAAGCAGCAAAGAGGCATTAACCGAGCAAGTAGAGACAGGTGAATACTCAACTTTACATCACGCTGTTCAGAAGAAAAGAAAAGGCGCTTCATAATTCGCGCTCTTCACTAAATATCGTTAGGGTATTGGCGGGGCATGGAGGAGACGAGACTGCATACATTTTAGCCAGAAAAACTGACGATAATAAACACTTTGATGAATTTCAGGCTTATTTTATGTATTATTTTAACCATATTCTCCTCCCTTTGTGCAGAGAACCGCTACAAGCACGAAGTTCTGGTGGATGGAGAACCTATCCTCTTCGAGATACTTGATACCTGTCCTAAGGTGAGATAATTTGGTGTGATATATCATATATATTCCAAAATTAGTTCATATCTATATGAATGGGTTGCCTAAATTGTGAGATAAGGCTGAGCCCACACTTGGACAAAGGAGTAATCTCTTCCATCCTTGCTGATACAGCTCGATTTCAATCCCACATAATACACCAGCAAAACAGATTGTGCATAGTAACTCATGCTGTGTGTATTGCTGGAATGCATAAGGTTAAATGGAAGAAAGAATTGTATATAACCAACAAGCCTCTTATAATTTACAATAGTGTCTATGGATAAATATTTCAGCTTACTACACAGTCTTTAATTTTTGGGCAATGATAACCAGTTCTGTTCAATTTTAGGGCAATGATAACCAGTTCTGTTTACAGACATTCCTAGCACCAAAGCCCATCAGTTCAGGTACCATTTCATTCACATCTTCATAAACTGGTTCCAATACATCCGCCTCTGTGGTCTAGTGGTCAGAGTTGCTGCTTACAGATCCAGGGGTCCGGGTTCGATTACCGGCACTACCAGATTTTCTGAGAAGTAGAGGGTCTGGAAAGGGGTCCACTCAGAATCGTGAGGATAATTGAGGGGTTATTTCAAGGAAATAGAGGCTCCGGTCTAGAAAACCGAAATTAACGGCCGTGGGGATTTTTTAATTGTAGAAAAAATGTAAATACAAAAGAGGCCTAGGAAATGTCCATCCAGCCTTCTTTAGCATATTCTAATAAACATCTTATTCTATAATAGCGGTAGTCCCGCGATTATTAATATAGATCTTGATTTAAATTTGTGTGTATGGCCGTGGGGATTCATTGCGCTGACCACGTGACACCCTCTACCCGCTAAAGTTGGCACTAACTTCGCCGACACGCGGAGATCGCTTGGTTGGTATAGTTTCTTTAGCCTCCTTTTAAATAGTTTTCACGGCTGAAATGGTATCCACTTTTCCAATTCTGAAATGACATTCATGTTTTCATTATTCTGAAACTCTGTTGCATTTGCATGCATACTGTTCAGTTAATTGATGATTAATAAGTTTCTGCTAGTCTCCAATGATGTATATTTCAGAATGTAGTAATACCACAGTGCAATCTCATTCTCAGTAAGAAAGCCATTTCATGTTTTGTCAGCATTCCTTCATGTCAGCCATCATGTCATCACAAATGTGAGTATCCAAGGTGATTAATAAGTTTCTGTTAGTCTCCAATGATATATATTTCAGAACGTAATAATACCACAGTGCAATCTCATTCTGAGTAGGAAAGCCATTTCATATTTTGTCAGCATTCCTTCATGTCAGCCATCATGTCATCACAAATGTGAGTATCCAAGATTTCATCATGCTTGCAACTACACCACCTGCAAATCCACTTGATCCTGATAAACTGTAAACTGTTGGAGTCCTGTTGGGCGCTGACGTTTCCATTAAGTCAGCTCTTGTGTTACAGAGTGAAGAAGACCTGCCAAGTTGTGAAACCCTGCACTGGGCTGATGGTTTTCTGCTGGTATATGCCATCACTGACAGACGTTCCTTCAACTTTGTGCGACGTGTCAAACAAATGTTGGGATGTGATACACCATTGGCCCTTGTTGGTAACAAAGGGGACATGGTGCATTTACGCCAAGTCAGCACTGAAGAAGGTACAGGACAGATATGGGACTGAGACTCATTCATATGTTTTTAGATCTCTATTAGACTAAAGGGAATAATATGCACAAACATCAAAACCTTCATAAATTAAAATTTGGACAATTTTGTTTCAGATCTGAGCTTTATCCCAATATAAAATTTGTAAATCCAAATTCTGTTACTTCAAACTGCCAAGCTTTATACTTTATTCAAATGAAGCAGCAAGTAATGCTCTATCATATGTGAACCACATGCCAGTTTTGCAAAGTGGAACTGCAAAAAAAAATTAAGGGAAAAGAAGTGAAAAAAAAATATTTACCAAAAGGTATAGAAACATAATTGATAAAGTAAATTTGTTCATGGCCATATAAAGAGTTTAATTGTGTCCCACCTGATGGGAGATGGGATGGATCAATACCAAATTTGAAATACCTATATTGTCATCAGTCAATATTTGAAATACCTATATTGTCATCAGTCAATAAAGTCCCCACGCCCTTCACCTGTTCAAATGACATATAACAACACTTAACGAATAATGCTTACTTTAAAAGCTGCATTGCTGCTCCTCCTAACCTCTGCTACTGTCCCAACCATACTAACAAAGCACCAATATCTGTTCAGCATTTGCTTTCAGCTGTTATTAACTGCTAAACTGTGAGTGCATCCTACTATTACAACCACAGAAGATGATACTGACAAAACGTGAGCCCTCACTTCTCATTTGTTCTGTCTCAACAGTCAGTCTTCTTGGGCACTTGATAGTAATTGAGCTGTACCTCTTTTAGGAAAGACAAAAGGTTTATAAATATGGTCATCAAGTCCATCATTGGATCCTATACAGAACCAGATCAGGCCACATCCTCACACAATTTCTTCCAAACTTCCATTTTAATATTATTCATCTTAAATTTAATTTCAGAATGCTATTTTAAACATTGCAGGAGAGATACTGGCAAAGGACTATGAGTGCTGGTTCAGTGAGGTTGCAGCAGCTGAACAGGTGACACAGGTGGCTGAGGCATTCCACGAGCTGTGTCGTGAGGTAATGAGTGTAAGGCGCAAGAACAAGCAATCGCTTCTTGACCGTATGCTCGGTACTAAATCTGCTGGACTCAGGGCCTATTCAAGAGGGAAAAGTGACAGTGCGCTACCCAAGGAATAATAAGAATCCCAAGCCTGTTGTATGGGACGTACATACATTTTAAAAGACACCAGTCTGACACAAAGGGAAACTGCCCATGTCAATTGTCTGCAGTACTTGTGTCACTATTCCACTAGAAGGTAACATCCATTCTTCATGTGCAAATTTTCAGTGAATATTCCTTTGTTTTCAATAAGAAGAGTATCTCCTACTGTACTTGCACAATTTGAATTACGTTAAAGAAGATAACTTCACTTCTTCACCAATTAAAAATATTCCAAACATGAAACAGGAGCAAATGGACAGGCCATGCCAGACCGGCTTCATGGTCTACATGATATTCTAATACCCACTTGCTATAGCACACACTTCAAACTCACAATGTCTGGAATACTGAGAAATTCAGCCATTATCTTACATGCATGTGACAATTCATAAATGATTGCCTTTGTTGAACTTCGTGATCGGAGATATTTTAGGTCTTATTTCTTGAGACTTAAACTTGCACAATAGCAATGTTGCCAGTAATGTAACTCCAGGAAGCAGAATCCTTATTCAGGAGTTAACAGTCATTCAGCTGGCCAAGGAATTCACTACCTCTCATGGAGCCTGAAATTTCATTACTGTGTTCATAAGAGCCTGCCAGTGGCCCACGTTCTGGGCTAAATGAAACTAGTCCCTACCCTCCCATTAATTTTGATATTATTCTCCCAACTATGCCTATGTTTTCTAAGTGGTTACTTACATTCAGGTTTTGTGACAAAAATTTGTATACATGTTGCCTGTAGCAATACAGAGTAAAGTACCATAAAGACAGATGAAGTTGAATCAACATTAAACAGAGAAGTCAGTTCTTTCTCTGCTGTAGCTACAACATGGCACCCAAATTGTGTAAATAATTTCATGTTTAAAAACTTTACCAACTGAACAAAATTTAATAGCATTTGAAATAAAAGTCTTCTTTTTTATCTTTCTTACAACAAAATTGTGAGCTACAGAAGTAAACTGAGATACACGGAGTCTGCCAATATGTACAGTAATCATGTGGCTAAGTGGCCTCTGTAGTCTAGAGGTAACGTTCACACCTCATGATTTGTAGTACGCGGGTTCAAATACCCGGCGGAGGTTGTCGAATTTTTAAGGGTGGAAAAATTCAGGGAACAAGTCCTCCGGGAGGGACTTTAAGCCGTGGGTCCCCTGTCGTAGCTTTACGGCACGTAAAAGAACCTCATACCTCCAAAGGAGGTCACTGAGCAAAATTGTGGACATTTGCCGCCCAACAGCAGTCACTAATACCTCCGGTAGATGGGGGAAGCATTATAGATACTTCTCAGCCAGTAGATAGCCGGTCTCGCTGGCTGGGTGGGACTGATGGTAAGCACCAATACCGGTAGGATATAGAGGCTGGTAGAAATCATAGAGGGAAGCACAATGGACCACTACAGGTCTAAGTGCATGGGGAAACCCACCCTCTCTAATAACTAACTAACTAATCATGTGGTTATGAGTCAACAACAACAAAACTATTATCATGGGTTCATTTCATAAAGTTTAAGGAGTCATGGCAGTTGGAAATCAAGATGAAGATATATCAGAAATAAATTTCACTTGACAATAACTTCAATGTAAAGCTAAAATAAGTTATTTAATAATCAGGCATGATACACAACTTTTCCACCATCTGCCTGACATGAGGCAAACCTGGACATGGCATATAATTACAAAACTGCTCAAAATGTCTACCTGGGCCTGAATGCACATATGAGCACAGAGTATTATCAAAATAGCCGTCAGCGCTGTGAACAGTTGCTGCTTGTTGAGATTATGTAATATTTTAATCACAATTCTAGTATTATATTTCTTTATTAAATAACACTTACTTTACGTTTATGTTAAAGTTATTATGAAATTTGTCATTAAAACTCTTCATTACTGGTAATTTCTTATATTACATTTCACCTGTCATGATGTATTGACTACTTGATTATGCACCCATGAAGTCTAAGTCCTCATGAATCATCCTGTGTAATAAGAATGGGACTAAAGATTAATATCCATGAACAATTCAGGGATTTTCTGTACTAAAACTGGTGTTAGATTAAGTAAAAGTTCCAGAATTATAAGAACTGACATATTCATTTGACTATATGTACATAGAAGTATGTTGTCTATACACAATAAAATTTCACTGATTAATGATTTATGTAATTATACTTCAAATCTGAAATAAAAATGTTTTTAGTTCATAAAATAATGTTGTAAACAACTTTAAATACTTGATGATGTTCACAAAACAATCTCAAATAGATACTGCTAATTACTCTTGAAGAGAATGTAGATGTTTAAGATATGTACCACTTTATTGTCACTTGCTGAAACCCCCATGGCACCATCAGCTTATTCTATTATATTATCTCCCTTATGTTATTCAATTTATTCTGTTAACATGTCACATTAACTTGTGTTTAATTAAACTGATGCATATTTCTTAACTGAATTTGTTCAAATTGTTACTTCCTTACTTTAGGAGAAGATATGTCAATTCCTGTGGTTATTAGGCGTGTAAATAAAGTTGGTTTAGTGTATATGATGGTGTCCTGGCATTTGCCTGGAAGGATTAAAGTATACAATGAAATGTCGCCCAGTCTTTCCTGCACAGGGGTAACTTTGCAATAAAGTCTCCATGCATAACTGTCTCTAAATTTATTATTAGTTATTAGATTTATAGTTTAGTATATATGAAGGATTACTTCTATTTCACACAACCATTCTTAAAGATGTGTAACACATTTTTCAAATTACTCATACTCTATTTCTTTCCAAAGAAGAATTCAGTGACTTCACACAATTTTTAATAACACAAATAAATTAAAATTTGTGTCATCCTTAACTCAGACAGTTCTGTCACTTTCCAAACAATTATTCATTTACTTTTATGCCTGGGTTCATTCATCTAAATCTTACTGAAATTTAATCTTCATAAAAATTATATAATGCAGATGAACTATATCACCTTAGTCATACCCTTAAATTAACATCCAAAATCTCTGACAATTTGTTGCTACCCAGGTCAGCCATAATTTCTGTACCATTTTAAATTTTTTAAAGCATTCACTAAATGTTTATGAATATAATGGCTCTCCGAAATATGAAAATGCTTTAGTTCTATCATGCATCAACAGTTTTCTCATAGTGTTTGTATAATTGAAGTCTTCTGGGATGTGACACCATGCAGAATTGTATACAATTACAAATGTTTTGTAGGAACTCGATGCCTCCTTTTGAAATTTATACGCTGACATTGAAGACAGTAAGTTCCCCTGGCACTTTGGTACCTACCTACCAGAATACACAGAATCACATTCATAGAAAATGCATTCTTAATCTTCACTTCTGTGAAAGCCTCAAATTTCACATATGTATTTGTAAATTAAATTCTCTATCTTATACTTGTTTAGTTGTAAATACCAATGATCATCATTTTCTACATCCACTCTGTCCCTTATTATTGTTTCTGCAATAGACTCTGGTATGTTATTAAGAAGTTTTTAGCATTTTTCACACCATCAGTTAAAAATATTATTACCCTACTGTTCTCTCAGTCATTCCTTTTATAAAAAGCGGTTTACTATTAGCAATATACTTTAAGGTAAGAATTACATTGTGACATGATGGCTGAAAGCCAGAACTGTGGAGCGCGAAGAAACGTCCATTGCTAGACTATAGCACTGTAAGTGACAGTGCAGACCAAAATGTTGCCTGCCTTAAACACCTCCCACAAGAACATCATCATCATCAGTAATCTGTCAAGATGACAGGTCCACAGTCTCTTTCAAAACAATTCCTCCACTTAATGCGATCTAGAGCTTTCTCCTTCAAATGACAGTATCCTCTTCTGTCCCCAAGGTCATCCAGCATCTTCTTACGTCTTCTTCCTCGTCTTCTTGTCACTTCTATCCGCCCATCTATCTTTCCTTCGATAGCTTCTTTTAGAAGGCAGTTTCTGCGTAAAACATGACCAATCCAATTAGCCTTCCGTTTTCTTATTTCATNATATCCACCCAAAACTTTTTAGCCCCTCCCCAGGGCAACAGACATGGACATTGACTCTTCTGGTACTGAAGCCACTTCAAATTAGGATGTAGTTCCTGGAAAAACAGGTAGGCGCCCTCAATAATCCTAACGTCTACCACTAACCTGATTCAGTGGCAAAAACAACTGCAAAATGTGGTCAAAGAAAGCTTTTAGTTCCATAGCACTAGAAACGGAACCAGAGTCACCATGAGAGGCATGGCATATTTCCAGTCTGACAAATCCCACTTCAACATCAGATAACCTGTCCTATTACTCATTCTATCCCAAATCCGAAAAACCCATGAAGGCAGTGATATGCCTGATTAGCGTCAAGCTGATGATAGCCACTCATCAGTCACCTACTGAGGGATCAAAAACCATAAACCTGCCCCTTTTCCTAATAACATTGACAAGGACAGCAACATCTTAAGAAATTTTTCGACTGCCAAGCCTCTGCCACACTGCAATCAAAGTAGGGGCATATAGAGCTCAGAATGATCTTATGCAGTGCCATAACTGCCAGCAGTTCAGCCAAGTATGGGCAAACTGCAAGCAACCTCAAAGCTGCTTGTGGTTAAAGGGGGGATTACCTGCACAAGGAGTGCCCTGAGAAAGGGAATACATCTTCCACCCCAATATGCTGCAGCTGCTGGATGGTGGAAGGGGGAAAACTGCATCCCGCCAATTATCATGGCTGTTGACATGAGGAGATGCAGAAAAAGAAGTTGTAGAGAGTGCCCAAGACTACAACAGGGTGTTCCCTTCCAACCTCACCAAGACAGACTGGCTGACTGTTTGTCATAACATAACCATGGCTGACTTGACTACAAAGAGTGGTTAGCAGTTGATTGTGAGTCTGCAGGCAATCAGCACTAGCCAGTGGTGAACAGCCAGAAAATGGCCAGGAGTTACCACCATTAGGAGCTGTGAGACAGTTGATGGCCAGGAAGGATATGAACACAGAAGCTGAGGAATCTACAGCATTGGGAGCCATTAGCAGGCAATGACTGGTGAAGACACAGCAGACTGAGAAAACTTAGTGCATGCCGTAGTAAACTGTAGAATGTGCATATTAGCAATAGTGCTATAATTGATTGTAGTTACAAGTTTCAAGAGTCCAATAAATGCAGTTACCAATCCAAACACCATATCTCTTCACTGAACATGTCACAATATAATTATCAACACAAATTCATAAAATATCACCATTTTTCTCCATACTTGAACAGCCATACATAGCTGGTTCCATCAGGTCCCACGGCCTGGCATAGATGGTAAGATAATTCAGCATGTCCACAAACTACAGCATATGCTTTAAAGTGTTATGTTTTCATAACCATGATACATAACTGAATGGAAGGAAAATAAAAACTTTACACATGCCTAGAATTTGCTTTAATTCAGTGATTTGAGGTTGTTTCCTTGCAAGTTGAAGAATGTTATAAAATTGTAATTATGGCTGTTATGTTGTAGTTTTCATAAATTATATTAGTGCACTGTTGATGTTTCGTAGTTTATGCAGTGATCTTTTCAGTTCATATGTCCTGGTACGCATATTGGACGATAACTGATGTGTACTATCAAACTTGTCAAAAAATCAAGTCAAGCATCTGCTAATGCATTGTACATTTCAGCCCTGAGGCTAAAACCAAGCAAGATGGTACTAGCAAACATGTTTTCAGAAAAAGAAAGTACTAATAAATTTACCCTTGCATGCACACAAGTGCGCACATACACACACATGAAAGCCTTATATAAAGAGTCTGTCCATGTTGTCCAAATTGATGTTTTTAAACTTATGTACACTACACAGCCTCACTAAAACTGATGTTTAATCTTCTGTAAACTAAAATTAAATTTATATGAAACATGACTGTTATGAGATTATGTCAATTGCACTGCATGTTGTATGACTTATACACATAACTATATTAACCTTTAAATGCCAGGCTTTTGAAATGGTGGTAAGCTTGAGCTGGTCAGAGTTTATTTAAATGCCCACTGCTGGTGCACATTTAAATGCACGTTGCTACTCTGCATTTAAATGTTGGTTCCTGTTAGGGCGCTTAAACAATTTTAAGCATTGTGTTTAAAAATGCTGTGTCTAACACAATTTTTATGATAAATGGATGGAATTAACTTTGTTTGTATCAGCAGAGAATGTAGTGTTGCATATTACAACGGAAGATTTGAAAAATTTTATACAAAAAGTTATACTCTATTTTCATTTTTTTTTTTATTTTAATTTTGATGCGTACTGCAAAATTGGTTTCCAAGTTCTTCACAGAGTTATTCTGCATTATAAATTTGTTTCTGTTAACACTTGACAAATTTTAGCAGTTCCTGGTGCCATAAAACATATGGAAGCAATAAAATCATTTGGTTCTCTGCTGGAAAACCTTACATCTTTGTTACTCTCTTCAGATTTTCAAATCTTTTGACTAAATGACAGAAGAATGAAAGCATGGCTATTCACAAAATAGCTAGAGAGGTCTCTTCTTCAGTGCCAAGACCTTCCGTTATAGCTGCAAAAGCTTATTGCCCCTTCTATGGGCGTGAACAGACAGCTGCATCATGGCTGAGATTCAGAGTGCGATCTGTTTTCTGTGTATTCGTAGTGAAATTGAATACTGTAGTTTCATTTCAGCCTATATATACATCAAGCAGATAACAACAAAAAAGGTATGTACATCGAATTTTACTATACATTTTTAACACATTAATCTGCAGAGTCTGCAATAAGAGTACCGGCTCATGGATGAGTATGGGCATAACTCATACGTATACTCTTTTTGTTGTTGTTCACTTAGGTATTATTTTAATTTCTCTATTAGGGTTTTACTCAAGTCAGTCTGGTAATTACTACATTTAAAAAAATATTTAGGACTGTGCATGTGCTCCTACTAGCGGCATGTGCGTGCGCTTCCACTAGAGGAGTTTAAATGCCCGACTGGCCAAAACGGAGCACTTTGGCCACGACAGCCTTACGCATCACTGGCCCAAACGGGGGACTTCGGACGTTAAAGGTTAAAGCCGACAAAATCAACTACAGGTCTGAAAACTACTTCTAAGATATGATGCTGCATAGTCTGGTAAAAGTTTACCAACCAACGTTTTGGAGGAAAACATCACCTCCATCTTCAGGATCAAAGAATAAGCATATCAAGAAATCAGTTTGGAGCAGGCAGCAAGCACAGCTCATAATGATGTTCTGTCTACTTACGTTTTACTGTTCTAATTTATTTTCTGTGTATTATGCACAGTGTGTTATATTATTTTATTTATATTCTATTTTGAATTTAAATATTGGTAGACCAATTTGCTAATCAGCAGAGTAGCAGAAAACAGGCTCAGAACAAAAAATCACAAAAGTTAAGCAGGTGAAAGAAAAACGTAAAACAAATGGTGTTTCACTTCAGAGTAGATAGGCTGTCATCTAAGTTTAATCTGAGAGTGTGGCATCATCTTTTATTTACATCATTATTGTCTAAAATATTAACAAATGGGATGACCACGCATTCATCAATGAAGTAGAAGAGAGACACAGCAAGGGTATTTATGTAAAGTTCACATTATTTTTGTACAATTTTAATGAGAGTGAATTGCATTGACATATTTTAGGAAAACTCTCTACATAAACTCAAAACAAGAATCCATCTGGTGGGATCCTGGCTGTTTCTTGCACATAGGCAGACATGACAAAGACAATAATTATTTCTTCCTAGACTTAACAAAAACTGAATTATGCTGACAGACAGTAGTAAAACTCCATGATATAAACTGTCATAAAATCCATCCATCCAATGGACAATTTATTGTATCGTGTGGGCAGATGGACATACAGACAGGGAGGCAATTTTTGAGAACGGCCAAAAAAGCAAAATAGACGAGACAGACTGAATGGGCAACCAAAACTGAAGACAGCTCCTGGCACTGGACAATTGTTAACCAAAAGAAAATTAAAACCCAAGCCAAAATATAATCTAACCTTGTCAACCCTCCTTCCAATAAATTTCTTCTTCATGTCCTGAAGAATGAAGCCCAGCTTTCTTTTGACTTGCAGGTGAAAGAACTCAATACCAAACACATCAGCAGTAAGGGGGAAAGGCAGCAAAGATGAGGTACTATGCAATGCAGCTCACTAAACACTCATTTGCTGCCTTCTTGTCATTTCTCTGCGCAGGTGTGGCCTCTAATGGCACATCACATGTACCAAATTTCATACAAATCAGTCAAATGGCTGAGAACTTGAAATGGAAGACTGACACACACACACATAAAAGTGTATACATGCAGTGATGTCGCATACCTGCTTCCTTTCTTTAAGAAAGGAAAGCAGGCTAAACTATCCAAAGTGAAAAACACTGTACAAATAGACATAAGGCAACATGACATACCTAAAAACTTGAGTATACACACAGCAACAATGTCATAATTCTCCAAGTAGTAATCAATACTTTTCATTACTATTTCCACAATACTCACACAGTTTATCCATTTCCACGTTTTCTGAGCCAGTGGGTAATGCCTTGTACAAAAATTTGTATACTGGATATGAGCAGCACAGCAAATTTATTTCAGTAAACTTACAAATAACTTGGTTAACACAGTACAACTAAACAAACTACCAAATCATCCATTAGTTTTCACATTAAATGTTAAGCTTCAGTATAACAGTAAGAAATTTCAATCTAATAATTTATTCCACAAAACAAATCTGCTCAACATAACAGATAAGTCTCCAAAGAGTATCTCCACCTCCTCTTACAGCTCCCAACAACAGCTAACAGTTTGTCTCGTATGATACAAACTGTTTGAATTAAAATGCCTCGTCTGTTATATTTCATGCATCTCATTTGTCATCATAGGTTTCCAATACATCAGCCAGATGTTCATTATCTCGAGGACGCTTCAGCTGCTTCTTACGGTGATTGGGTTTCTTGCGCTTATGTGGTGCTGGTTTCTTAGGCCCATGATCTTGCATTGAGCGAATACCCTAGTAAGAGAAAAGCACATATTACTGAATGGTTAACCCAGACAACAAGCCAAACCTATCCATCAGACTAGTTACATCAATTACCTGTTAGAATGAGAATTATATAAATGCTTGTTATGTTACAACTACAATGTACTACTGACCTGCTTTTCTAAATACTCCTCAATCTTTTGGTCATCCATACTTTCAACAGCTACCGAGCGCCATAACTTCTGAAACTCTTCATCCACTGGCAGTGCTGCTGTTTTATCATTATAGAATACTATCTTTTTCTTGTCAATAGGTCGTGAGATGTATATTATCTCATTCTGGAGAGCCTGAATCAGATAACAAACTAATTAAATTGAAGTATCAAGATAATGGTCTTCAGGGATAGACCAAATTACTTTGAAATTTTTGCTCGTTTCATGAGAATACCAGATAACCAGGAGTTTACTGTATAGTATGCTGCAGGTGCTTACATATTACGGATCCTTTTCAGGGAATAACAATAAATGGGCTAATACCCAATGAAACAAACATAATATAAAAAGAAGCTCTTTAAAACATAGGGTTTTATTACACACCTTTCATACCTAATCAAATATGTCACATCATGTATGATTTTCCAGTCATATATTAGCAGTAAATGTCAAAGCTTCCTCCTTACAATCATTACAGGCTAGAACAGTTAACAATGTTTGCTAAATGTTACAGACTGAAAATGACTACAACTAATTTATATAACATACTACAAACAGTAATGAATATACTGACTCTCTTTCAAAGTTATCTCTGTTACCCACTATGGTATGGTGCAACCTAAACACTCCAGATATGAAGGCCAGCTGTGAATATGATGAATAAGCAGAGACAACAAGCAAGAGATGGTACACCAAGTTGGGCTTTGGACAGCGCCCTAACAGCTCCTTGCCATAAGAACTGTTACGCTGGGTCTTGGACTTCAGACAGATTCTCTGGAATAACTAAGAAGCTAAAAACAGACATGAGATTTGGAATTGTGAATGTTGAAAGAATAGGATGGAAGGTATAAAATGGATTCATCTTGCTCAGGACAGGGATCAGTAACAAATTCCTCTGAAAATTATAATGAACATTCACATTGCAAAGAAAGCAGGGAATTCCTTAAGCTGCTGAGCAATTATCAGCTCCTCAAAGGCTCTGCTGCATGGGTTAATAATGTGTATTATGATATTCTTTTAATACAACAAAAAAGGTATCCTCAGATAATCACTACTGCACACTCAAACAATAACAGTGTGACCCGAGAAAGAAAGAGAAACAGATAATTGTATTGTGAATTTATTGGTTCCAAAAAATGCTACAAATTTCTTAAGTGAGTGACCATCAGTTTTTCAAGCAGGACTCTGCTGGCTAGTAATATAATGGCATAAGGAAGATGAAGTTCAGTGTAGTGTATTTACCTTCAGTGCTTTGTCACAGTGTGGGAGAGATTCCTGGACATCTTCCAGCAAGATTCCTCCTAGACCCTTCAAGTCATGCTGTTTCAACAATCGCAACAAACTCTTCTTGTCTTTAATTTTGTAAGATGCTTTGAATATGAACTTTCCTTCAGGAGTAACTTCAATCTTCGGATTATTTACCAAAGCCTCTGTCAATAGCCACTGAAATCATTGATGTCCAATTTCTACATAAATTTCAACAGAAATTCATACAGAAAATGAAAGGGATATTTAATACAAAATACTTTAATACTTCAAAAGCATTCCATGGATCTAAAAGGACCCATTGTGAAGACAAAGAAATACAAGCAGCTGTGTTTGTGGAAGAGAAATACTGTAGCCAAGAATTTTATCTACACAAATAATGAAATTTATCTAAAATTATTCTCTCCCAGGAGACGTTAGCCAAAACATTTTAAAATGACAGAATTTGACAGGCTTTTCTTAATCATGCTATTTATCCCAATTTAAATTTAATGCCTAAAACTGAAATTTCAGTTATGGAAGAATTGGGAATGAATAGGTAGATACTACAAACTCAAGGTAAGTATGAAAAACATTAAAAAAAACTGGTTTCAATTTCTTGAATGTCATCCACTGTCTACATCATTCTTGAAGACCATGAAATGGACCAAATCCAGTGATAATGAGCCTCTTCATGTCATCTGTGGGGTACATCAAACAAAACCATGCAGTAAAAAACTTGCAGAGTATGTCTCTTGGATGTTGCAGGGAAGCTCACCAAGAAATCAATACAATCTGCAGGTGACAACCAATACTAGCACAGACCCTCCTTTCCCTTATACATCATGCCCATCTGCTAAAGAGCCTGCCAATGTGCTTAAGGACCACAAACCTCCAAGATGTAAGAAACACCTGTCAAATATGAGTGTGTGGAGAATGTACACATAAAGTACAACTGCCCGTCTTAAAGCTGCATACTGTGACGTCTGGGGAGAGGTGGTTCAGCTTCATGCATTCTCAACCTCAGCACTAGATGGAAGTGAGTGCTTAACTTGCTGCCTCACTTACTTTACCCCAAGGAAAGAGCTTCTGGTACCCCAGAGCTAGCCTGGATGCTGTGGAGAAGAGAGAAATCTCTTTCTCCATCAGGAATCAAATCCTAACTCTTCAGCCATCCAGCCCATAGCCAGTCACTATACTGACTGAGCCATCCAGGCTCCTAGTATGTACATAAGCGAAGGGCAAAAAAATAAGAAAATGAGGACAAATGAAATATAGAACTTCAGCATGTAATGTTCCTTTTCATAGAGGGAACTACTTTCACACACACATATCATACCAGAAAAGAGTACTGGAGTGTAAGATTAACAAAATATGCAATGATTAATGTGTTACTTTAAACAATTGAGTTATTATTTTACAAACTACTAACCGTAGCCATTGTGTTTCTTGCCTTCGTGAACCTAACAGCAATTTATCAGACTAGTTTATGTGAATAATTTGTCTCTTTGAACTATTACTATTAAACTATATTTATCTTTATAATTTGAGACAAATGAATCTCATTTTGTTTCCAGATGGCAGATAGACATGAAAACAGTTTCCTCTTCTCTCTGAAATGAACAACCTTATTCTTCACATTTCTCCTCTACCATTACTAGCTTCCAATGTAAAAAGCATAACAGACAGACAGGAGTTAAAAATTATATATAAACTGCTATAGAAAAATCTGGTTAGGGGCTATGTCATAATCTGGAAGGTTGCGGGTTCAAGTCCTGATGAGGTCACTGGATTTTTTTTTTTCAATTGACCTAATCCTTCTGGCCGCACTATGGGCCTGGGGTTGACTCAGCCTCTAACATAAATGAGTACCAGGAATTAATCAAATAATTTTCCTGTGGAGTAAAGCACATACGGCTGACAACCTTACCGCCATCTTTGAGCCGATTGTCTCAATAATGTGGGACACTCAACATCTCACAACCTTATGGGCCTTCACAACCTGTTACAGGGATAGTTTTTTTTTCCCTACAGAAAAATCATTATTACACTGCCCAGGCTCTACTGAACACTTTGGTGTTTTTAACATCATTGTATAATTTTTAGTTTCAAATATTTTATGTATTTTCAAACTGTCAAAAGTTTTGTGTAAAATGATCAAGTGAAGAGAATGAACTGCACCTAACTACCCATCAGGGAACATGCCTTTTACAATGAAAACGGGAAATAAAACATCACAGTAATCAGGATCAGTAACTCCAAAATAGAATGCAGTCCATAGTCACAGTTTGCAAGGTCTACATGAATCCAAATTTATTTTAGCAATACACAAACAACTGTATATTATACATTTTACTTAAGATGATTATGTCTTTATGTCAAGAAAGATCAGAAAAGTGATATGACAAACTATACACACACTAGAGACGCATCTCTCAACTTTACAGCACAAATTCATATGTTCATGCTGTTTCAGGTTTCCCCTTCTTCATGGTTCAATTTCAGTAATCTCAAATCATTACTTCCATTTGAGATTTTCCTCATTTTAATGTAAAAATCTATTACTCCCAAAAGAAACCTTAGATAGATTTCACTGTATATTGACACTTAAAAGTCTGGTATCATGACAGACTCCATGTGTCAATCAGCAGTACTGTTTTGTATTGCATGTGGGCAGCCATGTTTTAATGGTTCAATATTCCATACTGATTTCTCTCAAATCATATGGCACCTACTTGCAAAATGAAGTGACAAAGTGGAACACAAAGCTGTGCAGAATCTGCTTACAGATGTGGTTTAAACAGAGATACATGGAAAGAGCTATAAAAATTGAAGGTCTTGTGATATACATTAAAATCTAATGTTACAGGTCCCAGTCATCTGTAAAATTGATGTGGCCCATGACACTAATTCCTATTTGGACAGTGTTAAGATCTTCTGGGAAAAAAGTTGTATAGGGGTTCTTACTGTATTAAACACTGACCTGTTTTACTTTTGAACCCACATCCAACTGGTTGGTTTCATCTAAAATTTCATCCAAAGATAATGGATGATCGTCACCTTCCTGATGTCTTGATCTCATGTACTTAACAATCTTAGCAAGGACTCCAAATTTGTACTGTGAGCTGCCACTCATAGTTTTATAACTGCAAATCATATGTATAACAAACAGTGGTAAAGATAAAGTCTTAGGACTCAAATCAACAAACATGGTTCAAAAGAATAAAACTAGAATAAACTAGCAGTTAAATTTCTATTATTTAGTATTTAGACAAAAAGTGGCTCTGTGAATGAGCGTGAATCCAGTTAACTCACATCATGTCCAGTATTAAGCAAAACTGGAATACAACAGCAATATGCCACTCAAAAAGACCATGTCTGCCACTTAGAATATCTTAAATTTTAATTTATTTTGGCTTTTCATTTTGTGTACTCTACTGTCTTGTTCCATGTCCTCCTTAGAGCAGGCTCTTGTTAGTCTGGATTAGTCATTCCATTACTATTTCAGAAGCCATACACAACAGAAAGTATGGGAAATGATTAACTAAACCAAAGATTCCCTTGAATGAAGAGTATTATTATGTATTAAAACATGTCCCTATAAAATTGTTATATGCTATCACATACTCCTCATTCTTGCATAAACTTCCACCAACACAGCTAGATGACTTACTTAACAATATCAAGCTTGGGTCCAGCCGAGGATGATGGTGGTTTTGGTTTCTTCTTGGATGATTCATCCTTCTGTGATTGAACATTATCTGAATCTTTCTTCTTTTTCTCTACCCTATAGAACAGTAACAAAAATACAAAGCTACAATGGGGAACAGTTAGGTCTTCAGTGTCCTGGAAAATGACAATACAGTTCCTGAACACTGGCACATTCTGCTGGCTTAACCCCCTTCATAACAACTTTGCAATTTTAAGTATATGAACATGTTGACCACAGAGTTGAATATAAAATAACGATATTAATATAGTTACTTCTACTTCATCTCCACATAACTGTGCAAGAAATGTTGCTAAAATGTATGCGAGAATAAAACGAATTTCCGTAATTGTATGCATCCCCGACTCAAGTAATTACAGATATAATAAATATAACTCAAACAAGGCCCAGTGCTACCCTGTAGTAAGCGAACTGTTCCCTGTATCTTGTTTGCGTGTCAAACCAAAGTGATTCTACTCTAACTCAAACTGAAAGGTGATAACTTACGTTGGGGTTGCTAAGGCTCTTTTTTTAAAGAGCTCCCGTTCTCTTAGAAGTGCAGGATCCATTGTCTTCGCTCTCAGATTAATATTTCTTTATTGCTATTCAGAAGGAAACACAATGTCCACATAGAAAATGTAAAATACAATACTGTTAATGACAGAACCATGTCATACTAAAAACATAACACAAACTGGAGTTCATGTTACCGCGTGATGTAGAAATTAACACAGCCATGATAAAAATTTCTGTTCAGCTGACTAATACTTCAAATAACAACTACACAATAGACACACGTGCTACTATTCCCTATTTTGCTTGGAACGTCACACTCAGAAACAATCCGAACACTTCGTTACATCTGTTATTACTAGGCCATCGACGAAGACACAAGCTGATCAGGTCTACTGCTCCTTCAGATAGCCATTTCCCGAAAATATGTCCTTCCTAACCACTTCATATCAAAAATTCAGTCCTTATTAACATTATACATCGCACTGCCCACCACAAACATACTTACAACGCTTACAACACATCACATGCACATCACTACGATCACTACATTCCAGTAATTAAGTTAATTAGGTTGGTACCTCGTTACCCCACGTTACCCAATACCGTAGTCTTGTGTTACCTGGTGCATTTATTTTCTAAAGAGGGCAGCAGTGCAGTCACAAGCACCCGCGAAATATTTAAAATTTTGGCGGTAAGCATAGTATGATACAAAAATTGTATAGTTGATGAATATGTAGCCAAAAAGCAGTAAAATGTAATTGTTAAAGAAAGAGTAAGAAGGTAATATTCATATATTCAGTAATATATATATTTCAATATTGAGAAACACATTTTACGGGACTCTGAACCCTAAAACATGCATATGGATGAAGACAATATTCGTAAGATTTGTCGCTGAATAATGAGAATCAAGTTTATTCAGCAATGTCAGTGAATAATGCGAAATGCTATTGACCGTGATTAATATTATTGGGTACTACTGTCTGGGACACAGCGCCATGTTAAGTGGTATAAATTATAGAGGGAGGTACCATGCACAACCTCAGAATAGAAGAGGTAGCCAAGTAAATGGAATGGTTTCACTGCAGGTGGAATGCTCCTCCAAAATTTTAGCAAATGCCCACATTATACGATTTCTTATCCAGGCATGAGAACCAAAAATCTAGCACTAAATCATATTCTTAAAACTGAACCTGAATGCTCTGCATGCAAGCATTCCACTAGCAGGAATGAACAACTGGAATTCTTTAGGATGAGCCATATTTAAATTTCACATTGCTTTGGATTTTCCTGCTTTGGTCCAGTATCCTCCACTCCTCCATGCTCCCTCCCTCAAGTCATCTGTATCGGCACTTGCTTGGCATTATCCCACAAGTCCATGTATCACATGATTTCATTTTCCTCCAGTTGTTTAAAAAGAAAACCCTTCAGCCAAGCAGCCTTAGTTAGAATTTGGTCCTTCGTTTGCCAACAGTTGGCAAGGCAGGTGGTGGAATTCTGTTTATGTTGCACATTCTAAATTCTGTTGGGATTCTCATTCCAGTAGACAAGGGCAAGGTACCGCCTTGTTGCAATGAGTACGTTGAGAGCATTGCAACAAGGGTTTTATTTTATTACATGGTTGGGCTTGTATTATCTCATTTTGTGTGACCGAGTTTGAAAACTTATAAAAAGAGCAGTCTTTTGCTTGCCATCAGTTGAGCGAAGTGGTTGCTAAATTCTGTTTCAACTGGTTCTTCTAAATTGTTTGGATTTCTCGCTTCTGCTGTTGAGGGCAAGGGGACCTCCTCATTGCAATAGTGTTTTTATTTTTTTCATTTGGGGATGTTGTAATGCGTTTGTTTGGTATTACTCATATACATACTGCTATTTCTTTGGGCTTGCTGCTGTCCCATTTAGTGTTGTTGCATGGCTAGATAATGGGGCAACACTGCAGTTTGGATTGTCTCGCAATGTTACATGAGTTTGGTCATTTTCTAGGTCTGGAGTAAATAGATGCCTCTGCGTAGCTACCTCGTTTATATCCTCATGAGCTTCAGTCTGGACCAGGGGGCCAAGGGCACAGATTTGTTTCATATGCATATTTGAAGTACCAATGTAATGGTTCAATTCTTATTTCTTATTTATTGTTGTTATTCTTATTAACTCTTATTAAATACCTATGACAAAAATGATCACATGCCTATGGTCACTGCCAAAATATGAAAACCAGTACATACCTAATAGTTTTCTCTCTTCAATTTGTATAGGCAGATCATAGGATGCAAAGGATACTCAAAAGCTGGGAACTGAAAAGGAAATAAAACTAGGGAAAAATTGTTTTGTAGGCAATTCATGCTCTCATTAGAGTTTTATAAAATAAATTACACTTCTCATTCATAAAATTATTTAAGAAAAACAATCAAATTAATAATTTGCTTGCTATACACAGATTTTGTACAGGCGCTAATGTAATTTACCAAAGAAAATTACATCATACAGCCATAAAGATACACTTTGAACAAAAACATTTAATACAAAACTTAAAATATAGTGAATGTCCTCATCTGATAGCACATAAAATCCTACTGCTTGTCAGCAATAACTTAATGTTGGCACTACTCATGTTTCTACAATGTTACCGTGTGCATATAATGAAGAAGCTTCATCCACTTGCACCAGCTTGCTTTACATACTCATCATTAAGGTGGATTGTGAATGTGTACTTAGTAAGATTATATACAGTAAACAATGAGTCAACACAGTGAAAAACCTAAAGTTGCAATAAATAATAATGAGGACAGTGGTGTAATTATGTAACAGATACAATATTTACACCACAAGAACACAAACTAACAACAGCACAATATATATCACCTGGGTGCCTGTGAATACAGAAGTACGTAGAGAGCATACCCACTCACTCACAGACTCACATTCATGTGCAAGTTACTTATAGTTACATAACATCACAGTATCAGTTCAAGATCAAACTGCACAGTCTGGCATTTGCACATACGACTTGATTAGCAAACAACAAGCTACATAGATAATGGGAGACTTGGTTTCTTTAACGACCAACTTGACCAAACCACCCAAGCACTTTTTAAGTGCAGCTGGACAACAATACATCAATCATTGCCATAATAAGCAAAAATATTTAACACAAGCAGACACATGGCAGACCTTCATACCAGAATTGTTTTCTGATCTGCTCAAATAACACAAAGCTCCTCAAAGGTTCTACCCAGGCTTCTATCTCCATGAGAATGCTAGGCCAATGACATTTCATGCCAAAGCTTCACATATAACACATGCTCATCCATTAACACAACTGATGGGACACGTGTTTCCAAATACGCATGCCTATTTACTAAACCTATCACATAATGATCATAATCATCCACTTTACTGGTCTCTGCAGAGTTGTGGTTTTGGCGTGATATGTTTCATCTCACACCTGTTCCCTGGAATCACCCATCCACACTGCTTTTTCCAACAATGTAAACTTCCAAACAAATACTATTAAGCACCCCAAAAAACAAGATCAATGATCAAGCCTTTTTGTTTTCAGGAGCAGTAGCAGTATATGCTTAAACACCAGAATTCAAATAAGAATTCCTACTGAAATAATATTCTGAAGTTTGAAGATGGAGAAAACTTGATTTCTATTTTCATTAGCTTGCTAGGTCAAAATCTGAAATAACAGGTGTTTACTTTAGTCAATAAAACATAAACAGATGGATAGAAAAGTCTGTTCAACTCTACAAATATGAAGTTATTTAATTTAAAATACAAGCACACTAAAACTGTGAATCCAAGTGATTACAAGTGGCCTTATTTGTTAGTATCTGTATATAACTTACTGTTTCGTGAGGCAACTGTGTGGTCATATTGAGTAAAAGAACTGCAATGACTGCACTAAATAATGATAAAGTGGTGCATGGTGCTTGAGACAAGGTTACCTCTCTCCCAGCATAACTGTTACTATACATCAGGCTGCTAAGGAATAAAACATGACACAGAAACTAACATATATTAAATAAAATCAATAAATTAACATGGATTCAAATTGTTTTCCCCAGTCTGACCTATTGCATCTTTCAACCTACATTAAAGTATTACTCCTTAAAGTTCAAAATAAATAACAAATTAACTTTCTGACTAAAAATTATCTAAGTATATATTTGCATATTTATGTGGACTGGTTTGTAAGAGGTCACTACTCATTTAATATAAACTGAATTATCTTACAAGTTTTACTTTGGGAAGTGTTACTGAGTGCTTCTTTACAGGGAAAAGCTGCAGCCATCAGTCTACTTGCTTGCCCATCCAGCTTCTTGTCTACATGAACAATTTGGTGCCAATCATAACCATATTTTGTAGAGCACAGCACATTACGTCAGCAACCGACTTAAATGGCTACAGTCAAGACTATTTCTTAGTTGGAGTTCCTCGCTGTGTCAGCCCCTCAAATCTCTTGAATGTGTAGTTGATGAACACCCAGTCCTTATAGATGACTTCTCCATCCTGGGGCAGTGGTGCAGCAGCTGTAACAATTGAATGATGGAAATGCAGACATACAGTAATGTGTACACACTGTCATTTCAACTTATGATTCCAAAATAAATCACTGTTATAAAGAATAAAATTTACAATTTACATGTCAAGAGTTGCACATACAGTGCATACTTATGCAGGGAAACAACTCTCATTCCCACGCTTTTTATCTTCAGAATTTGAAGTGTCTGCTCTTATATGCTGAGGAATATACTTTTTACAAATCTATCACTTTGGCACTAAATAGAAAAGTTAAAAAAATAAGGGTTCAAAAGTCTGTATTGTGAAGAGTGCTTTTTCATACACATACGTTCTTTTACCCGACTATAAAATATACACCTGCATGTGGATTCTGTGCTGCTGCTGTCATTATTATTGTTGTAGTTATTAAAACACTAAAATTATTTTAATGATGCATGTTGAAATGTCTCTCATTAATGAATTTAACTTTACATGTCATTCTCGTACCATGCTGAAAACTGAATACATAATCCCACTTAGCCACCATCATATCTGGTCCATTTAAAATACAAAGTCATTTAAGAAGATAAGTATTTCAGTACAAATAAAAGCACAGTCTGACAGAATGTGATCAAGTAACCGCATAGGGAAGGTTTCCTCCCTCACTCTGTTGTCCATTCTTATTAGAATGAACACAAATTATCATTCTCCTCTTCCACACTTTAAACTTACTCTTTCATTTTTACATTGGTAGCTTATACAAATGTACTCCAAAAATACAAGTTCCAAAGCAATGTGCCAAATCTGGTGCAAGAAAGTGAGAGGCTTCCAATCTCACTATGGAAGACACTACCTCAATTCCAGACAGGCAGTATCCAAAGAGACATTTATACAGTCCAATCAAAATACACTGAATTGACCAAAGACCAGTGTGTATGTCAACAGAGATGAAAAGAGCTATCAATGGATAATTTACATATTAGTGTGTGGAAGTAAACTGCAAGATCTTATTTTTTCAATATATCAGTTACAGAACATGTACATTATTATTATTACAAGCTACTTACGTATTTCTAGTTTGACATCAGGGAAGTCATCAAAATTAGAAGTATCATCAATAGAGCGTACTTCAACAGGGATGGCAGCTGGGCGTTCACGAATGTGGTCCCAGTCCACACCACGAAAGAAAGGGGCAAGTTTTAGTTCATCCATGCCCCTCTGGGAACCTAAGCGCCGTTCTGCCTCACAACAAAATCTTACTATAGTTTCCTTTGCCTCTTCTGAGATGGGAACCTCTGGTGGGAACGTTAATGTTTCACGCCAGTTCATCACTTTACGGTATGTTTCTTGGGGATTCTCACTGCAAAATGGAGGATATCCTGCAAAAAGAGCATACGATGTTTCACTATCTACTCCTCACTCAGTAAGAAACCTCCACATTCTCAAAATTGGGCACAAGTATAATGAGAGATGAGGTTTCCACTGTGGCGAAAATTAAGACTGTGGTCTTCTAGCTAACAACACTGCATAATTCATGTAGCTATCTGTAAGACTGTTAGTGATGCCAGTAGCTCAGACTGTACAGGAAATAATGAAGTGAAAAGGAGGGGGGAGGAGGCAGTCATGGCCTAATCTGAGGCACTATCCAAGCATTTGTCTACAGGGAATGAGGGAGACCACAACAAACCTCAGTTTGGACAGGTGGTATTTTGGGCAAGATTCGAACCTGAGACCTCATGAATATGAAGCAGAGTGTTAACCACTCAATGGTTATAATCAGTCACACTACCTCTTCTGAAATATTACCATTATTTCATTTTTATGCATTTTAAAATCAGAAAAAAATCTACTTAAATATGTAATTTTAATGGTCTATGCAAAAATTTCTTTGGTTTATATTACTTCTCGCTGACACATTTTCCAAAGTAGAAACAGCAGCATATAACAGAATACACTTGCATATGGAATATGAAGACATTTATTACATTACAACTAACATACCAATAAGCATCTCATACATGATTACACCAAGACTCCACCAGTCACATGCTGGCCCATAGCCTGTCTGCAAGAACACTTCAGGTGCAATATAGTCAGGAGTGCCAACAGTGCTGTAGGCCAATGCCCGCCTGTTTTTCTTCCAGCTTTCAGCCCGTCTCTTACTGTCCATTGGGCTTGATGCTGCAATATAGTAAATAAGTATAAAGCAAGTTGAAAAGTTCACATACAGTTAACTCACTGAACAAGGCACTTTGAAACATAACTAATGATATGCAGCCAAGAAGCAGGTGGTTGAAAGATAGAAAAATCTATAAAATGAGTGTCATATTCTACATGTGAGTATCGTGGCAAAGACCCCATTCTACAGTACCTATGTGCAAACTGCAGAAAGAATGAATGAAATATGATGGCCTTGAGGGTGGATGGATGGGGTTCAATTCCCAGCAGAGGTAAGAGATTTTTCTCCTCTCCAGAGTGTCCTGACTGGCTCTGAGGCCCACCCAGCCTCCTATTTAATGGGTACTCAGAACTCTATCCCTGGGGGGTAAAGCTGCAGTGGTGTGAAGCTGACCACTCTCCTCCATATGCTTTCATGGTGTGTTGCTTAACCGATTTAGCACAGACAGACCTAGTACAAGCAATATGAATGCAAAAAACTATCTCTTCACCCATACATTCTGTTGTTATTCTGTCATGTTAGTGGTTACAACAGGACCAAAAGATGGCAGTGAGAGTTACCTATGCTTCTGTCAGTGTCCAACTTTGCCTTACCGACACAGTGCATATTGAGTAAAATTATGATTTAATATATAAGAGTTGGTCAACAGAGACTTCATCTGCATAAAGTGTAGCTAAAGAAGGTAGTATGTTTTAAAGTCTTGGTTTATTGCTGGAGGATGTAGGTCAGTCAGTATGGTGAACCAAGAGAAAAAGCTATATAGTATGCGTATGTTGAGTGAGAAAGGCTCTGTCCATCTGTTGCATAATATGTAACTCAGTCAACCACAGCATGCTGATAGCTGGCCTCACAGTGTCAGAATTATTGAGAACTGATCACAGCTGCATTCAAGAAGAAGAGAACCTTCCATTAAAATGAAGAAAGCAGTTCAACTTTTGAAGTAATTTCAGGTATTTCAAGAATTTCTAAGAGACATTTTGATATTCTTCTAGTATTAAGATCTGGATCTCAAGTTTTAGTGTTTATTATGGCATTACTTACAATATAAAAAACGAACAAAGATTATATCCTAAAAAAAATTGCCTTTATCTTGTGGACATCTTAAATTTGCTGAGAGGCATGACTAAACTACACATTAATACACAGTTTATGACAGTGATTGAGCCATTCCATCCTTTCTTCTGTGAAGAGAATGTGGATATGAAAATTAATCAACCTTTACTAACCCCCACACAGCAATGTTACACCCGTCTATATACAAAAGTAAGCAAAACTAACTGTGGAAACAAAGCGGAAAGAATGTGTTAACATTCAACTGATGACATTTCCTATTCAACAGGTACTCCTTAAGATAATTACATAAATACAGAAATGCATGCACATATTGTGAACAAAAAATGTTCCACCAAACTCTGGAATGTGGTTACACACTAAAATAATGGGAAAAGTCTATACGGGTATGTGAATGTGTCTGAAACAATCATGTTTCAGAGTTATGGTATGTCTGAATTTTATGATGTTTGAAGACAAGAGCCTGGATAGTATATCGTTAAGTAATTCTGAATATAGCAGAGTAGTAACTGTCTGACATACCGTTCCCCCATCACCATGCAGAGCTCAGCACTCTGCCAAAAACCCTGCCCTACCTGTTACTGTTTCACAAATCCTTCACAATACCTGCCGGCACATTAACTGAACACTGATGATACCTTGACTGCAGAACAGCATCGTGGGTTTTCACCTGTCCACACATGAATATTGTCACGTGTTGGGTGTGTGTAATGTGACAAATACCTTCACTCCATCTTGGATGTAGTGAATTTATCGTACACTCGCTCTTACACTTACACAATTTAAATGTCCCAATTACTGCCATCTGCAGTAGTCACCTCCTGGGTTCAACTTTCTTGAATCCATTCACTCGATACAACTTAACAACTCGTGGCTACTGGACTTCACCTCATCTCTTCGAAGGCTGGAAACCAACGGCTAATGCTCAACTAACTCCGGCGAATACTAGACTTAACTGCACCTGGCAACTGCTAGACGTCCACTGAACTCCTTAGGCATTCCAGTTTCTCTTATAAACCCTCAGCCACACAGCGGAAAACACACAATATTATGGAAGTTAATAATTATGTGCCGGTCCCAGTAGCCAAGCGGTCTAAGGCATGTGCTGTCTTCGCTTGCCTGGAAGCCAGGATCGTGGGTTCAATTCCCACACAAGGCATGGATGTTTGGTGTACGAGGGGGGACCCAAAAATAACTGGAACCGACCTGTTGCGCGCACATGCTTTGTAGTTACGAGTTGTGCTGCTAGGTGGTGTTAGCTGGGGGTCTCCCGCGACTGTTAGTGAGCTGGCGTCAGTCTGAGTTAAGTGGTTTGTCTGTGGTGCTCTGTTGTGTGCGTTCCTGTTTTAACCCTTTGGCGATTAGTGAGATGGCCGACCAGAATGAACAAAGAGTGTGCATGAAATTTTGCTTTCTGTTAGGGAAAACTGCAGCCGAGACTGTTGGGATGCTTCGGAAAGCCTTTAATGATGATGCTTTGGGG